GGATATGACGATACAAAGATAACTACTGGACATATAACACGAGAGGAAAAGACACAACAATCACAATTCAGCTGGTACAATATGGTTTTAATAAAATCAGTGATCAGTGTTAATGATGTCAATGCAAGTACAGTTAAGTACATTCATGTACATTGTATATTCAAACAAACAAATAGGCTATGGGTCAGGACACGGGTACCCTGAAGATCACCAAAAGATGGACCTGTTAGTTTGCCAAGATACAAGAACCCGTTCTAAAGTTAATGATATATGATGTTAATGCCATATAGTCATATAGTCATCATGTAAATACTGCATCGTATGACGAGATAATTCTGACTACCATATAGTCATCAAGTTTCCTGTAATACGTATCCCCTACAGTCATCCCATGCCCCTGCGTTTTTTTGTTGCACGAGTTTCTGGATGGGATAGGATGATAGGATTTACCTTGTCAAACTTCACTTGTGGCAAAACATCCAAATCACCTACCAGTCACAAACATTAATACGTTCATGTTTGAATCCCGATTGTTTGCTTGTTAAAATTCAAGGCTTTGTCCCCCCAAATCCGATGGCTTATCAGTAAACTCATATCACTTTTCGTAGTTTCTATGGCCACTTAACTTGGGGGTCAAATCTATGTAAATCCGCGATTTTGAGGCACACTGTTCGGCATTGTTCTGGCAAACTAGCCTACATTTCTCGCACTGGAAATTATCTTTGACCATCGTTTGCACATTCCTACTCCTATTAGCATACTTTTAGATCATTTTTTTTCTAGTACTTCCTCTTCCCAAAGAATTAAATGCTGGAATATCCCCGGAAAAGTTTGGAAAATGTCGCCGTGGCTGCACATTTTTTGGTGGCAATATGGATAGCCATAGCTCCCTGGCTCCCTCAGGCTCCCTGGCCGCCTCGTCCGCGAGCACATCTGGCAGGGCCGAAGGAACGCCTGAACGAAAGGTGAGTTGGTAGCGATGATTCGGGAGAAGATAGGTAGAAACGAGTCACAAATGTCACAACGAAAATGAGGCTTTAAGATTGCAATAGATTGCAGAAGAGTGATAAAACCACTGAAGGACATACTGATTGATAAATATGGTGGTGGTATATGGGTCAAACGCTGGTACCCTTCTGTCCTTCTACACCAAAATGGCTGGCGAATTGAGGTTTAACATGGTTTAACCCCACAAATATGGTACAATAGGTAGTGGTATCATTTGATTTAGGTATAATATGGCATAATATGGCATAATATGGCACAATATGGCATAATATGGTTTAATATGGCATATCATTTGATTGGTTTAACCCCACTTAAATAGGTAGATTCCATGGTATGCCATAACTTCCAACTGACGGGAGATTCACTGTTGAACCTTTGGACTCATATGGGCCCATGGGAAACTTCGTGAAGTGATGATAAATAGTAACTTAGTCTCCGGTACATATGGTAAATCAACATAAAGGACATCATAAATTCAACATAGGACAGCATAAAATATCATGAATACAAATTCAGCATGGTGTAGATTGTTAAAACCTTGGGTTTCGACATAGCTTTTCCACAACATGTTCATTTGATACGATCGGGCCCCGATCGGGCCACGATCGAACCAGGGCGAAGGAAGGCCTTCTTTCTCCAGCTGCTCGCGGATCATCTTGCGGATCTCCTTCAATCCAACTGGGTTTTCAACATCCTTCAACATCTTTCAACACTGGTTTTTGTTTAGATTTAGATCCAGTTGGATTGTTGACTTTTCAAAATCTTAATATGGTTGTTTAGATAACACTGGTTGTTCTCATAATGATTTTTTATGTTTAGAAAAAAATCATGAATCAGGAGATTGTTGACTCGTTAAGGCATCAAACCGCACTGCAAATGCAGAGGATCCGCCTCCCGTCGCTTCTGGGATGCTTCCGAATCAGTGGCCTAGGCAAGCAGGACCCACAGCTGGTCCAGGGAAACGTAATCCAGGGAGTGAATTTCCACTAGATTGATATGAGATTGATGACAATAATAGGTATAGATTAATAAGCTACTAGATTGATAATATTCCATGTGCTCCAAGTAGGTCCGGGTAGATTAATTGATCGAAAGCCAACTTCCGGAGAAATCCTCATCATCATATCCATGCCCCGCTCTATCCAAACGAGGTATCAAAGAAACCAAAACAAACGACTTCCAGAATTTTCGTAAAATTCATCTTTTCTATACTTCTAATCCCCTCCCCCATTTTTACATTAAACACCACAAAGGGAAACCGTGTTTTAGTAGGGGGATGAACCTACATATTTGAGGTGCTCTTGGCATCTGGGCGCGGCAGGAAATGATTGGTATCATTGGTATCCCACAAAAAAAAACAGCAAAACACATTCAAGACCAATATTTTGACATATGTTCCTTCAAGGATCATATTCGCAGTGATCAATTTATTGTACATCGATTTACTATTCATCTCATGTGGAGTTCACTCTTCCAGTGGTTTCTCTGACCTCAATATCCAAACATATCCAAACATCCAATCAGACAGCCTCCGAAAAAACAAACATGTTCTTTTTCAGCTTCTGCAACCATGGTCAGGGCATGTCAAGGCACAGGGAAAAGGGCGTTGTAAGGCAAGTGCTTGGGATAGTGCCGAATGTACCTGGTTTGTGGTTCCGCGGAAAGTCTCAAAATGGTGAACTATGGTGAAATGTGTTTGTGGGTCCATGTGAACTACCCCATATGGCTACCTAGCTTTAATCTAGGGAAAAACAACGAGAAAAATCATGAAAGGGTAGGTTTATTCTAAAGAAACTCTGAGAAGTCTTTTTAGGGAGTAGCATAAGATTGAGATGAATAAGAACGACATGTGAAAACCAATACCTGAGAGTCAAACTTGTAAGTAGTTCTGATTCAATTTAATCTCTCTCCGAATTTACCTGATTTTGCCAAGCGTGGATCCAATATTGTTAGGCATTTGGGCGATGGATACCTTCAAGCTACCCCATTTTCACTGCCAATCTTAGGTACCCTGCAAAAAAAGAAACTGATTATATATATATATATGTGTGTGTGTCAGTATAGATGGGCACTTTATTCCAAAATCACAATATATATATATATAATTAAATATGTAGTTGTATATTAGCATGTCACTCTAACATGTTTTCTTTACGTCTAAAACTACTAGTTAAGGAGTATAATTATACTCCTTAAATTGTCTTATTGTAACCCTTACACTACTAGTATAGTTATACTCCTTAAATTGTCTTATTAGACCCCTTAAATTAAGAAATTATACCCCTTAAATTGAGAAATCATACCCCTTAAATTGAGAAATTATACCCCTTACTGTAAATTTAGATACTATTATCCTTAAATTTCCAGATCAGGGGATAAAATTTTGAGGTATTATTTCTGCAGTATTCACCATGCTGAATTATGCTCCCATATTTCTCTATTATATTACTTTATTTATATACAGTATATATACAGTATATTTGGTGGTGCCTTAATTGAAACCGAAGTGCATTTGGAATAGCTCAAATAATTGGACCGCCCCAGATAGAAACGCAATGGATCAACTGCTAAACAGTCACAGCTTGCAAGTTGATTCTATGATTTTTGATGTAAGGTTTCTGATGATAATTTATGATTCATGATCAATGATTGCCAATGATCCATGATAATATTATCAAACTTATTTATGAATCATAATTTATGATTCATGGTTTGCTTCAACGTTTATGGTTTATGAAATTCTGATTCAGTCCTGACTTATGGTTTTTGATGATGAATATTATGAATTTGAATTGTTGATTTAGACGATTTATGATAATACCATGATACAATGTGGCCACCCCCAGTTATAAGATGGTTTATAAACCCCATTAACTATATAGTTATAGGTACCATAAAGTTACTGGAGTTATTTGCACCAACTTAGCTATCGTTTGGGGGCCCCATTTTGTATAATGATATGATTCCATCAATGACTTTTGACATCGACTCATGATGAATCACCATGGGACCAGGGGATCGGAGTACACAAATTCCGGACTTTTTTTTGGGAGACAAAAAAGGGAGAACTTCTGGAGAAATGATACTCAAGTGGGCAGTTAAGGAGTAGAATTTCTCCCGAAAGATCCGACAGTTTGCCATTTGGGGGAATTTGGCAATTGTTGGGGGCCAAAGACTTGCAATTTTTGGGCTCGAAATTTGGCAATTGTTGGGCCTCCAAATTTCCAATTTTGGAACCCCCAGCTTTCAGCAGGTTTCGTTTACAGATTTCCATCATTCATTTGGAACTGGATTGTTCAGATTGTTGAAATGCCTAAGCACCGACTTGTAGCATTTATGCTTGGCAGCCCCCAGTAGGTTTTGCCAGACTTGCATTGGCACCGGATAGATCTTTGAGTCATGGCATGTCACAGACACCACCATTAAGCGTTGAAGTTTGTGACATAGATGGACACCAAAATTATGGAATCAAACTCCCTGTGCATTAATGTTTGGAAATATACAATGGATAGCTGATACCACTGATACTGTATCATTTAATCGTTTAGCCACCAAAAAACAATTCCCCAAAAATATAATGTAACTGTCAAGCATCAGTTTCTGCCCAGAATGAGACTAGAAATTGGGTAGAATTTCAAACCACAATGAATGGTAAAACAAACCCCCAAAATAGGTATATTACAATTACAATTATTATTCCTTAAGGGGCAAAAATAAGGAATATAATTATACGCCTTAAGGTGCCAAAATAAGAAGTATTATCAGTATAATTATACTCCTTAAGGGGCAAAAATAAGGAGTATAAGTTTACTCCTTAAGGGGCCAAAATAAGGAGTATAATCAGTATAATTATACTCCTTAAGGGGCCAAAATGAGGAGTATAATCAGTATAATTATACTCCTTAAGAGGTCAACATAATGAGTATAATCAATATAATTATGCTCCTTAAGTGCTTCTAAAGAGACCCCCAAAAACGTGTTACAGCACCATGCTAAGTTATATATATATACATAATTATGTATATATATATTGCGAATGTCAAGCCCTTTGACACCCCTTTTCTCCTTACCTCCGTTGCACCAAGATGGCTCCTCTGCCCACCCTCCCTTGAGAGTGCAGAGCGGAACGGCCGGATGTTGGCCACATGGATGAACCCTGTCGGAATGGAGTCACAAGATACTAGGGAGTTTCACACACCTTCTTTATTGGGGGCACCTTCTTTATTCCCAAAATCCTTCCCAGTTTTCTTGTGAAAAATTGTCTCTCCAGTCCAAAACTCTGACATTGGTGCAGCTGCTCTGGATCCTGTCCAAAAGTCATATTCCACAGTTCCTCCCTTCACTCGAGTCTCTCTGACAGCCCTAAAATCACGGATGTCAACTGGGCACTCAGTGACCCCTATAGGAACAAAACGATTTTTCCGAGGAATGACATGGATCCTACGGATCTGTTCACCAGGTCCAGTTTGCCAAAAATCTCGAGGTTTCTCATTCGTCTGTACATCTACTTTGAAATTTGTTTCGACCGTGGCTTCTTCATTTTTCGAGGTTGAAACATTTGGTCCAGCTTGACCCTGATCTTTAATCCACTGCAAACGCTGTCGACTGTCAGCTCTACTCTTTAAAATCTCCTTTTCATCAAACAAAGAGTACTTTCCCGATACCAAACACTGCCGAAGAGCCGTGGCTTCCATGACCTTAGTGAGACAATCTGCCAACATTGCCTGACTTGTCACCCAGCGGATATCGCAGTTGGATTTCAGCCTTTCTCTAATGAGAAGACATTCGATAGTTGTACGGTGCTCGCTGCAACTTGGAATGGCTGTTCTTGTCAAAATATCATACATGGACCTGCAATCAGTCACGATGGCAGCTCGTGTCTGGTCCTCTAGAACCTTTTCAGGATCAGACCATTCACACTCTGGATTCAACAGCCAAGCCCAAATCATGCGAAGCCAAAGCAACCTATCTACGGAATTGCTCAAGGCTGCAGCTTCAGCACTTAAAGTGCTCCTCACCACCCGTGGCACCTTTTTACTTGTCCAAGCAACTGGGGCAACAACTGCCTTCTGATTTCCCAAAAGTTCAGGGGTAGTTGCAAAGATTATTGTCCCTTGATGTGCCACACTGGTTTTGGTGGACATGAAGCTGGCATCGGAAAACGCACAAAATGTGACCCTTGTTGGATGAATGGGAAGAACCATCAGGGACACCTTATGCACCTTGGCCTCATGCAGAACCTTATTGGCAATGATCATGTCCTCTACTTTGGCTTTTGTCACATTTGATTGGAGTTCTCCTACCTTGGCGCTGAGATCAGGACGGCTATGAACAGCAGCGTATTGTAAAGCCCCGATTAGGCTTCGAAGCATGCTTCTTTCTTCTGGGGTGACTTCACATGACGGTTCACTCCTGCGAGACTTACCAATATTGATTGGTGCTATCTTCTCAATGTAATCAATTTGATCAAATTCAATACTGCCATCATCCCATTGCTTGAAGTGAATTCCCGTATATTTGAATTCCCCAGTTTCAAACGATCCAAACTTGAAACGTTTCTCAACTCTTGAAAGCATGTTCATGAAGGCTTCATTTCCTCCCCCGATCCCATCATCCACATGCAGGCCAATACTGCCGCAGGGATGATAATCTCCATTTTTGTCGGTCTCACCATACGTGAAGACACAGGGATCGAGCGGGTGCTGTTTGCATCCTTGACTCAGAAGCTCATCTCGGATTTCACAGAACCACAAAAATGGGGCATCAACCCTGCCATATGCTCCCCCATTTAGGGCACATTGATCAGTGGGTCCCATCTCTAGAGCTTCCTGTATCTCCGGAGTCGGATGCAGGCCGAGATTTCGACCATCGCCGCGTCCATGCAAGAAAGCAGTTGAAATGTCAAAGCTAATGAGGGGCCAACGGAAACTACTTACCTGTTGTAGAACCAGCTGACGACCATCTTTCGTCAAAGTCGGAGCATCGTTCTTGACAGAGTCGATATCTGGATCCTCATAACCAATGACCTCCAGACGAGCCTTTGCTCTCTTGCCGTTTAAGGCCAATTCTCCAGGTGGTTCATCCCCATTGGCCCCCTTCCATGACAATAGCCAGCGGCAGCGCATGATGGCATGATCTGGGATTTTCCCTTGTGCCACCTTCTGAACAGTCTTATGACTCAACCAAGCCTTCAGCTCTTTGTCTTTGGCTGCTGCAAAACGAAGCTGATCCTCTTCTCCAAGATCTTTGAGTTTCACCTCAACCCTCTTTTTCCTAAGTTCCGTGGCAGTCATGACCATTTCATGAGGATCATGTTCCGTTTTCATAGGCAGGTTGCTCGGAGTGACATCAATTTCCCAGTATTTGTTTCCCAGAACATCCCCAAAACAAAAATCATCCCCAAACAACAAATCACCATCACTATCATCAGGAATTGGTACTTTCACTCCATTGGTTTCAACCGTTTCTTCTTGGGATTCCCCTTCCCCTGGTATCTCTCCTTCAGGTTCCATTATAGAGGGTGTATAACCAGAACTATTCCCATCTATCTCCCCTGATTCCTCTGGTTGTGGGATATCTTCGGAATCCAAGTCGAAGAAATCGGATGTTGCAACCCTTTTCACCCAGTCTTTGACTGGTTGCATTTGATCCTCTTGATCTTTGACCGCTTTCCACTCTCTCATGGATGCTGGCCTCAATTGTTCTGGGCTTGCACGGATCAGTTTATTGGCATGCACTAACCAGCAGATATTGCGGCCTTCCAGCATGACAACTCTGGCCGGCCCATGCCATTGACCACGCAGCCTGCGAAGATTGCCACCTTTTCGCCTCCAATAAAGGACCCAATCCCCTTCTTCATAGGGCTCCCTAAGTGGGCGACTCCTTCGCAACATTGCTCTCCTCAGGCTGTTACAGTTGTCCGCTTCGATGAAAGCTCGCCTTGCCCTGCTCCGCCGTTCCAGGCTTTGCCGGAACTGGTCACTCTCACAAGTCTCTCCCGCTGCCAACAGATGACTTGCTTGCTGAGAGTCTGAAGTGATGGATGCTGGTAATTTTCTTGAAATGCCCAACACCGCTTGTTCGGGGGTATAGCCTTTCACCCTAGACAAGGCATTCTTTGCACAAAAAGCTTGAACCAACCCCTCACGAAACTCATCACTTGTGTTGATTGGAACTTCAGCATCCATCCTTTCCAGCATGCGCTTGATAATCGATCCATGAATCTCTGTTCGGCCCAGCTGCCAATGACTGTCCCTTGCAGTGGTTTTCACCTGGATTCCATATTCCTGCAACTTTACCAAAAACTTTTCCGAGGTATACTCCCTTGCAGGATCAGTGTAAACTTGTTGAGGAGGTCCTGCCCACGATATCCAAGTGTTTTCCAAGGCCTGGAGTTGGTCATCGGCATCCCGTTGACATGGTTGACCCTGATGAAACAAAGTACCCTCATCAAGAAAATGTACAAAATGAAACTCTTGACCACGACCATTTCTCCAGCTCACCACATCCATGCCCAAAACTTCATTGAACCCTAGATCAGCATGGATTGCTGCTTGCCGGGACGGAAGGAACCCCTTTTGGGTTTCGAGACAGGCATCACGTTGGAAATCCAGCGCTCCAGCAACGATGTGTTCTGCCGCATGTGTGCTCTTCAGGAACTGAGCTAATCGATTTGGATCTGGATGTCCCATTCTATGATGAATCTTTCTCACCCACTCCCTGTCTTCCCTACTCATTGACAAAAATTGGGGGCCATGTCGAGGTATACTCTTAGGGGGGTATCCATTAATTCCCACATCCAGATCCTGATCAGCCTTCAAATTGCTGGGTTGTGCTGTTTCAACATCGGGGGCTGCCACCTCGCGCATCTCACCTGTTGACGCATCCGGCATCATTATATCCAGGGATGGCATGGTTTCTGTGCCCTCCATTTTGGCAGATCGGTCACCCTCACCCAGGCTCTTCCCCAGAGATGCATCATTTGGGTCATCCCCTTTGTCACTCCCAAAAACAGTGATACTCATCCTGGCAGGTTTTGCCTTTCTGATTTGCTTACATTTGGGTAACTCCTGCCATTTTTCGGGTTTTCCCAAAATTTCCACATTCCCTGATTCCCGGTTGAGGATGACGGTGAGCCTGTAAATTAACGGGGCGATGTCAGCTCCTTGTTTGGGTACTCGAAACCGTTCTGTTCCCCTACACACTTCAACCCTTCTAACAACAAAATCATCAACCAACATCTGAACTCCCGAAACAAAATCATCCCCATTGTCCACAACAACCGTACCCACTCTCGGAGCTAGTTTCTCCGCCATCTTGAACAAATCCTTCCAGGATTTTGCCGGACCATACTGCTCTCCAAACCTGGAGCTCATATCACTCGATGAAGGAATTTCTTCCTGTTGTTTGTAATTCAAACGCCGTCTCTTGACAACATCTTCGGCTGCAGCTTCTTGATCTCTTTCATGAACACCATTGCAAGGAACACACAACTCATCCAACTCCATGGGCAGTTCCCCAGACTTCATGCTTTTCAAAAACCCAACAACAACCAACTTAGAAAAACCACGTGTATACTTGGCTGCATATGCCGAAATGTTTTCCCACTGTCCATTGATTTTCCACTGCCCCTTGATGTGACAGTGAGAGTGCTGCTTTGTACAGTAGCGGGAATCGAGCGCGGCATGACAGACTTTGGATGTCGTGAGCACAACCGTTCTTTTCCTGAGGTAGTTATTCCCTTGTGGAACCTTTAAACCTCCAGCCTCACACATGTCAAAAACCGTACGATAGGTACCATTCACAATTCCATCAATCTTTTTCTGCACAAGTGCCTCAGAACCCTGTGGTTGTTCTAAATGAAAATGTCTTCCATGAGAAACTTGATACCAGTACAACTCCTCACACAAACCCAAGTTCTTCTGTTCATGTTTCCTACCTGCATCTATTTTGTGTGCTGTGGCAGTGCTTTTGCTTCGGTTCCATCGGCTGA